TATGTGGTATATAATATACAATAAGGTTTTGATGGTGGGAGGCATAACGAGAGCATGTGACTGACTCAAGCTTATAGCACTGCGAAATGGGCCCAAATAGAGTCTCAACTGTAGTATAATACACATCACTTTACCCCGTACACTCCTGTTTCTTTAGGCTAGTGGGAACGATAGCTATGACTGTGTAGCTGCATGTGCCAGCAGTGTTTTGGTTGCTTCTCCAGTGGAAATGGCAAACACCAAAGTGCTTTTGGGCAAATTGCATGGCTTGGCTGCTGCCGTTGTATTATGGGAGCTTTTAGTCAACCAGTGAAACAGAGAGGAATCTTCTTCAATTAGCAGGCCAATTAGGGCACATGTTTGGAGAGCCCTCTTTCTGCGTTGTTGTTGCAAAACGAGTCTCACGTGATCATTCTTACGCGCGGCGGCGCCTCGCGCTCGCTCGATGGCGGGTGTTTGCAAACATACTCGAGTGAAGTGGGTGTTAGGTGATGCATGGAGGTATAGGGCTTCGGCCCATGTTAGGTCCTCTCGGATTGAAGGTGTCATTTCCGGCAGTCACCGTTATAAGACGAACCGCGAGACAGATAGCTACGCAACTATTCGCGGACTACCAGAAGTTGTCTTGCAAGTGATGGATTGGCTGGTTCCAAGGGCTGCATTGGTAAGTATAATGGAAATTTCGTGTGATGGAGATCGGTTTTTGCTGTGATAGCCGCAAAATAAATTTGTTAGCTAGCTGTACCGGCGTGATTCCAGCATGACATTGACTGCATGCCTAGAATCGCCCCGAATGTTAGTGAAATTCGGTCGTTGAGACGGGGATATAATTGCGGTTCGAACTAAGCGACCGCCGGACTCCTTGTTCTGGTAAAGCTAGGGGCATGAAAAACAAGCCCTACGAAGTTCGGAAGTGATCTAAGGCAGCGCTGTTTTGTAGCTAAACTGCCGCGCACTTCCGGCACTCAAAAGGTAATCCACCGCGAACTGCTTCACTACTGTCTAGGAAACCTTTTGCTAGAGTACAACTCGGCATTGTCCTACCCTTTAAAAATGATAGCATCTAGTGGTCAGAAATGTCTTCAGTAAACTGTGTGTGGAGTCTAATCTCATTATGTAGCTAACCTTCCCTCAGATATGTGCTTTTCTCTTGGTGCATTTGAGCCTGTGCTGGTCCCAGGCCCAGCAGGCTCCAGGAGATGAGGACGATCGATGTACAGTTAATCATGAAAATCCCCCCACAATATCCCGACACTGTGAGGAATCTGATGGACAGTTACAACTATGAGAACCTCTTACCTGGAAATGGAACTGGGAACTCTCCCCATAGCTACTGCAGTCTGGAACGACTTCAGTTTTGATGGAAATGATGTCACTCCTGAAACACTGAGCCCAACTTATGTGAGTTAACTAAAAGAAAGTAAAGGTGTAAATATTATACTGCATGTTTCAGTGGCAGCAAGGAGCTGGAGGAATATGTCGATTTCAGACACGTGTTTGTGGATGGAGGCGGAATGAAGTCATAATTTCTCAGAATAACTGGCTCTTTACTCAACACATCAGTCAGGACTTTGATCGCAATGATTATGGCTACAATGTTGAGATACATGTGGAGGCAATTTACTCGTTGCAGAGTTGCAGAGAAAGGCAAGGTTGTATACAAAGATTCAATCTTCTCCACTACATGACTAACTCACAACAGCTCCCCAGTACCAGTGGAAATGGATACATGAATACCCAAAATTATGAAAATTTCGCAGTACCAGAAGGACCGACTTCCTCAGAGACATACACCAATACCTACAATTTCACTCTGCCACCATCTTCCACTGGTTTCTACATAGCTGTCCAGGACATTGGGTCATGTATAGCTCTATCAAGACTGAGAATCTATCGTGAAAATTGCAAGTCATTTCAGACTGGACTGGTCCTCTATCCTGATGCTCCTGCTCCAGTGTCTGGCTCGGCAAATATTGATATCAGTTGTGTTGAGAATGCAGTGGTCTCTGGAAGCTCAAGAGTCACATGTGGCAGTGATGGAACATGGGGTTCTCAGAATCCTGTGTGTCAGTGTAGACTTGGATATGAGAATAGGCAGACGGAGTGTATTGGTAAGTCACTATCCTCAGTTTCATGAGGCTTGTTTGAACATAAAGCTTTCACACAGCTTGTGGAGCTGGTCAGTATCGTTCCAGTGAAGACACTACCTGCCAGCGATGTCCTGCCAATTGTGAAACTGATGAGGTGGCTGCCGACGAATGTGAGTGTTTGGTTGACTACGATAGAAACAACGTGAACAGAATGACTGCACCAGGAGCACAGCCCTTCCTCTCTTCCAGCCAATGAAGCACCAAGTGCACCATGTACACGTAAGTAACAGAATAGGCCATACTCACATCATGTTTCAAATTTTTGCTATTTTCTCTCTGTGCAGAACCTCCCAGTGCTCCAGGCAGCCTTTCACTGAGTCCCCAACAGAGCAGTATAACTGTCAGATGGTCAGCACCAGCAGACCTTGGTGGGAGGAGAGATCTCTACTATCAGGTGGAAATCAGTGACCCAGACAACCTGGGGTCGTTCACTGGGACAGTATTCCTCAGTGGAAGTACCACCAGTAGGACAATCTCTGGCCTAAGACCACACACTCAGTACTGTGTCAGAGTGACAGCCCACAATGGAGTCAGTGACCAGGACCCTGATGGAGAACACCTCAGGACTGTAGAGGAGTGTACTACAACATCAGAAGCTCGTAAGTATACAACATTAAGTGTTAGTCTAGCACACACACCCTCTCTTTCTCCACGTGGCCTCACCGCGCGCGGGCCTGAGAAAAAGGGTGCAGATTAGATGTCTTACATAACCAATACACACACACATTCCTCCCATTTTAACCCCCTTATTTATGACTCTATTCTGGTTTCCTCAAGGTCCAGGAGCGGTGAGTGGAGTTCAGGGGACGTATCCCTATGTGGTGTGGAACCCACCAGAGGAGCCAAATGGAGTCATCACGGGCTACAGACTGGTGTTCAGTAGGTCAGGGACCTCCACTACGAGGACTGTCACCACCACTAATGATCAGACCTTCTACATCATCCAATCATCTAATATCCCCTGGACCTCCGGAGATTTCAGAGTAACAGTAAGTCTTCCGCTTTTCTATTGCTACCTTACCACATTGGATGAGACTACTGTTGCTTACACAACAAAGTATTACCGCCCTACCAATTAGGAAGGTAGCTCGCGGTTACCAGCCCCACCCATCCTTTCTTCTCAGTGGGTGTAATGCACTTATTGGTACATTTGCAGGTTGCAGCTGGGAACAGTGTCGGTTTCGGAACTCAGTCGTCAACTTTCACACTCACAATTGGTGTTCTACATGCCGTAAGTACACAAAAATTTTTGCATTCAAGATATAATTTTGTTTTTTTACTTCCAGCACCACCTCCGCCACCCAACTGCCCAGGTATGTGCTATAATTTTACCAAAACCTAAGAGTTGAAGTTTGCTTTGGTCTGTTTTTACATGTGCCCAGCGCAAACTGTGGGTCTAGTTCGCTACCCTACTACACAAGCTCCCGCCAGTGGATCATTGACTGTCACTACACAGTGTGCTGACAATGCTCACGTCAGAACTGGCTCTAGTCTGAGTGTCAGGTGTAGCTCTAGTGGTAGCTGGACTGGTACAACTCCTCAGTGTGAATGTGATACTGGATATCGTGCAGTCACTGTCAGTGGGAGGCAGATTTGTCAAACTCAAAGTAAGATCTTTGTACCGTCTTTAACTAAAAAGTCAATCACATTTTTCTTACAGGTGTTACTCCAACTACATGCCCGTCTAGAAATGTTGGTCTAGTTCGCTATCCTACTACACTAGCTCCAGCCAGTGGATCAGCGGCTGTCACTACACAGTGTGCTGACAATGCTCACGTCAGAACTGGCTTTAGTCTGAGTGTCAGGTGTAGCTCTAGTGGTAGCTGGACTGGTACAACTCCTCAGTGTGAATGTGATACTGGATATCGTGCAGTCACTCTTAGTGGGAGGCAGATTTGTCAAAGTAAGCATTTTAGTGCTACCATCTTTCACATGATTCACTCTGTTTTCTACAGGTGTCTCAACTACATGCCCGCTAGAAGTGTTGGTCTAGTTGCTATCCTACTACACTAGCTCCAGCCAGTGGATCAGTGACTGTCACTACACAGTGTGCTGACAATGCTCACGTCAGAACTGGCTTTAGTCTGAGTGTCAGGTGTAGCTCTAGTGGTAGCTGGACTGGTACAACTCCTCAGTGTGAATGTGATACTGGATATCGTGCAGTCACTGTTAGTGGGAGGCAGATTTGTCAAACTCAAAGTAAGAATCTTAGTACTTCACTCATATATAGCTATATAAATCACTTTTTTCTTACAGGTGTTCCTCCAACTACATGCCCGTCTAGAAATGTTGGTCTAGTTCGCTATCCTACTACACTAGCTCCAGCCAGTGGATCAGCGGCTGTCACTACACAGTGTGCTGACAATGCTCACGTCAGAACTGGCTTTAGTCTGAGTGTCAGGTGTAGCTCTAGTGGTAGCTGGACTGGTACAACTCCTCAGTGTGAATGTGATACTGGATATCGTGCAGTCACTCTTAGTGGGAGGCAGATTTGTCAAAGTAAGCATTTTAGTGGCTACCATCTTTCACATGATTCACTCTGTTTTCTACAGGTGTTAATACATGCCCAGCTAGAAGTGTTGGTCTAGTTGACTATCCTACTACACTAGCTCCAGCCAGTGGATCAGTGACTGTCACTACACAGTGTGCTGACAATGCTCACGTCAGAACTGGCTTTAGTCTGAGTGTCAGGTGTAGCTCTAGTGGTAGCTGGACTGGTACAACTCCTCAGTGTGAATGTGATACTGGATATCGTGCAGTCACTGTTAGTGGGAGGCAGATTTGTCAAACTCAAAGTAAGAATCTTAGTACTTCACTCTATATAGCTATATAAATCACTTTTTTCTTACAGGTGTTCCTCCAACTACATGCCCGTCTAGAAATGTTGGTCTAGTTCGCTATCCTACTACACTAGCTCCAGCCAGTGGATCAGTGCTGTCACTACACAGTGTGCTGACAATGCTCACGTCAGAAACTGGCTTTAGTCTGAGTGTCAGGTGTAGCTCTAGTGGTAGCTGGACTGGTACAACTCCTCAGTGTGAATGTGATACTGGATATCGTGCAGTCACTGTTAGTGGGAGGCAGATTTGTCAAAGTAAGCATTTTAGTGGCTACCATCTTTCACATGATTCACTCTGTTTTCTACAGGTGTTAATACATGCCCAGCTAGAAGTGTTGGTCTAGTTGACTATCCTACTACACTAGCTCCAGCCAGTGGATTAGTGACTGTCACTACACAGTGTGCTGACAATGCTCACGCCAGAACTGGCTCTAGCCTGATTGTCAGCTGTACTTCTGGTGGTAGCTGGACTGGTACAACTCCTCAGTGTGAATGTGATACAGGATATCGTGCAGTCTCTGTTAGTGGGAGGCAGATTTGTCGAACCGATGGTAAGCATTATAGTGCGTTTGCCACAACAATAACAAAAACCCCAACGTTCTCTTGTTTTTTCCCTTCAGAAACCGCGTGTCCCCCAACAACAGGTCAGATAAACAATTTCAAAATGATGTTTGAACTCTTGTGATGAGTGGTTATTTTGCAGAGTGCCCATCCATAGGTACAACCACTAGTGAGACTCCATCATCTTCACCAGGTAACTATTTTTGTTCACTAGTACATATAGTTTGATGAGACTTGTGTATAATTATACTGTGTTTCAGTATAAACCTATACCTCTTGATGGTATGCAGTCAAACATAATTATCTCTATGTCTATATACAATGACTCTGAACTCCATGCTGCAGAAGGTCCTACAGATCCACATATTGTGTACGGATGTGTACATCTGTTGTGGGACACGACAGCAGAAGAGTCGACGCTGGTATTCTATGAGAAGGAGAGAGAGGTCTACAATGTGACTGTAGCTGGTGTGAACTTCTATAGACTCCAGACTGATGCAGAGTGGCTCAAGGGCCTCGACGATAAGACTACATCACTGTAGAGGTAATGGAAGAGAACTGACTCAACTAGGTCAAGTATGAGAGGAATCGGATAGTAGCTAATGCACCAAAAGCATGAATAATTATTATCTCCATTCTTAACCAGGTCGCTAGAATTCTATCGCATACAAGTTATTGCAGTTTCAGTACATCCAAGAAAGAACCTTCCTGATTCAGCTAACAGCTAACAATAAATCATTCTTTCAATGGCCCTTCCACACTAAGCATCCTGAGTAGCGTGGTTTCCTATTGTAAGTAAGCGGATACCTGTCCGATGTGAAAGTTTACTCTTTAACCAGTTATAAGTGTAAATCACCTTTCACTTTGACATAACACTTTGTTGTTAGGTAAAGACACATCGGAACTCCCTCAGAGAGGAAAGAGATACCAACAACGACAACAACACACTGGCTTTCACCTTACAAGGTATAATGTATACATCAATCACTCTTCACCTAGGACTGTTGTATACATAAGGGAGGAAGCACGCCTAGAGTCTCCTTGCCTTTCCTCCTGTACTATGCTTCGTTATGTAAAAGAGCGTATGTCAGCAGATAATCATTCCCAAAGCTATTTTGTGCTTTGCTACCATTACGTCATTGTACAGAACATCATGCAAAACTCCACAAAATGTTTTCACACTGAGAAGGTTTCACAGACGACTCCCAAACCTAAAAACTGCAACCATTATCTTCTTCCGTTTCTAGTTTTTTTCCCTTCAATTCCTGCACTTCAAATATTCCTTTCTCTACAGAGGTCAGGAGTACACTGGCAGATCTGAAGGAGCCAGGACTGTGCATGTCTGTATCCCAAGGTCCGCTGTCTTCCTCGACCAACGATGAATCTTCCATTGACGGGACTTCGATTGCTGTTTCCATCATTGTAACCTTCGTAGTGACTGCAGCCGCAGTGGGATTTCTCTCAGTCGTTGTCGGCTTAGTTCTTCATACTCACTCGAAGAAGAAGAAGAAACAGAAGGAAAAGGAGCCAAGTTACTGGTCCTCAAAATAAAGATTATTGTAAAAACGCTCATGTCACTCAAACATTATTATTGTTTTGTAACCTTGTAAATGAAAAGCACTGAAGTGCAAACCCTCGGCGCACTGTGACGCGCACGCGTAAGTAAACGCATGCGCCGTACCACTAATTGATGGGCTGGGTTTAGTTTTAGCTGTTACTCGTGGTCTCTTGCCAGCTCGCGCAGAGTCTGATGCGGGCTAACTACACTACTAGATAGCATGCGAGATCGAGAGGCGATACACGCCCTGCGTTGCATCTTCTGGTGCCTCCGAGTACGCAGAGCACGCGGATCGATCAGACCGCGGTAAGCCATCCCGTCCGTTGTGTATTTGCATATTGGCTTTTTCGCGCTCTAGCTTTGCAACGGAGCAGTTTCAGAGAAAACCCCACAAATTTTCTGACCTTCATCGCCCGTTCGGTAGGTGGTATCCTTTGTGAGACGAAAGAACACTCGAGAAGTGAGATGAAGAGTAACAGACAGACAGACAGACAGACCCAAGTACTGTAACCCTCGCTGCGCATGCGCGCCGAGGGTTAATGACTGATGTATGTATGAGATGATGTCTCAATCAAGCGGCCTCGTCTGGAACGCGCGCGCACGGCACGCCCGCCTGGAGCCAATAGCCACAACTGCCGACACCATCTCTGACATAGGTCGCCTCATTATTCCAAAGGCTGGCCATCTCCCTCTGGCGTGGAAACGCTTCCGCATGGATCCACCGATGCCTGCCACCCGCTCCATTTCTTGACGGCGTGCATGGTCTTGTTTTGTTTTGTCAATTATGCACGTGTATAATATATTTTGGGAGCGATGAAAAAAAGCTAATAGCGGATTTGCGCATACGTACTCTATCGGAGAACGTGTAATAATAGCTCGGGACTCAGTAGCGTTCCTTGGGGGTTTCTGTTTCCGAAACTACTCAAATACTCTTCGGTGCGCAGCGTCGGTCCGGTAGAAACGCAAACTCACTGCACCCTCACCCCGCGCGTCTGCCAACGATGACCGCCACACATGCAGTCGCGGACACTAAGCTAGTCGCGTTCCGCGTTGCCTACTCCCGCGTCGCGTCGAGCTTAGCGCTAGAAAGCGCGACGTCCATAAACCTGTATACGCATGCGGACTAACACGTAGATACCGACCAGCCCCACCCACCTACCTCACGCGGAGGCGCACACGCGCAGGATGCCGCCAGTAGAAAGAGCTACTCATGTTTTCCTTAGGAGCTGCCACTGCGAGTTGAGCCAATTTCGCTCTTAAGACACAGCTGCGCGTTTTCCGAGCCGGTGAAAGCGGGACTCCCTATCAAGACACCGTTGATATGAAGGCGTCGTTTGTGAGCGTACGCTACGTCCCTTGTCGTATCCGAAGCGACTCGTGCATGCTATGCTCTTCCGACACATATTATGTACGTGTTGGCTGACGACGTAGCGCTGCTTGTGTGATGTCTCTGTAGCTATAGCTAGCTTTTGTATTTATGATGGTTTAGCTGGTGTACAGATATGACTAGGAAGTAAAGAATGGACTCACTGGTAGATAATGCGGATGCAGAACACATGCAAATGCAGCTCGATCTGTGTTACTCATAGAATTTCTCTTGCTGCGTCTCATACTGAGGACTTGTAATAGCTACAATCTGGCTGGCACTGAACCAGCCAAATACCAGCTACTGTGCACTGTTTATGCTGACAGCTAGCTCTCTGAATTCCAAACCAATGGAACAGAATAAGGTTTTTTTGTGAGTGAGTATTATTCTATGTCGTATCTGGGTAGTGTGGAAAGTATGGTGGATTTATTAGAGAGGTGTAGTTGTGTTTCATGCATTTCATTTATGCTGTGTGTCCTAGGTTAGAAGGATTGCACTTGTAATAGACAGTATTCTCAAATCTGCGTTAGATACCTCTGTATAATACAGTCCTTAGCTAATTCAGCCCTTCAAACACACTTCATAGGGTACACATAGTTCAGCACATTACTATAATTATATAGGGAAGTACATTATCAGTGTATTTTTCTAAAACAACATTGGTTACCTTGGTTAGCAGGTGGGGGCGAAGATATATATATACACAGACTATGCAGTCACTAAAACAACCACTAGTTTGCTGATCTTTTTTCTTGGCTAAATATGGGCATTAAATTTGCAAAGCTAGCAGCAGAAAGATTAGCTACCATGTCAAAAATTTCATGACTGCCACTGGCGATTGCTCACACTAAATGTGAGTGAAACTGATATCTATACCTGAAGTGAATGTGCACAATTAATACTATGATGACTAACATATTAATAATTGCCTGCCACCCCATTCCGTGTTGCTGCTACGCAATGAGGGAATCCATTTCTATCTTTACGACATTGATGGGGCAATGGGGCAATGCAAACCCAGGCTAATCATTCACTTGATATAGCACTTTAACTGTAAATTTACCTACCTTCAAGAACTATCTTCCAAATGCATTATGAAACTTAAGCAAACCTATTGGTGGGACAGTGCTAAAACCTATGCCAACTATTGGTTTGACCGTTGACATCATTGCAGGTCTTTGCTTTGTTTTGTGTTCATCTGAGCCTGTGCTGGGCCCAGGCTCCAGGAGATGAGGATGCACGATGTACAACTGATCATTCAAACCCCCCACAATATCCTGACAATGATGACGAATCTGATGGACAGTTTACAGTTATGAGAACCTCTTACCTGGAAATGGAACTGGGAACTCTCCCATAGCTACTGCAGTCTGGAATGACTTCAGTTTTGATGGAAATGATGTCACTCCTGAAACACTGAGCCCAACTTATGTGAGTTAGCTAAAAGAAAGTAAAGGTGTAAATATTATACTGCATGTTTCAGTGGCAGCAAGGAGCTGGAGGAATATGTCGATTTCAGACACGAGTTTGTGGATGGAGGCGGAATGGTGTCGTAGTTTCTCAGAATAACTGGCTGTTTACTCAACACATCAGTTCAGATTTTGACTCCAACATTTACAACTATGATGTGACAATACATGTAGAGGCAACTTACTCATTGCAGAGTTGTAGATTACGACAAGGTTGTATACAAAGATTCAATCTTCTCCACTACATGACTAACTCACAACAGCCTCCCCAGTACCAGTGGAAATGGATACATGAATACCCAAAATTATGAAAACTTTTGCAGTACCAGAAGGACCTGTTTTCCTCAAAGGACTTACACCAATACCTACAATTTCACTCTGCCACCATCTTCCACTGGTTTCTACATAGCTGTCCAGGACATTGGGTCATGTATAGCTCTATCAAGACTGAGAGTCTATCGCAACAACTGCAAGTCTCGTCAGGTTGGACTGGTCCTCTATCCTGATGCTCCTGCTCCAGTGACTGGCTCAGCAAATATTGATATCAGTTGTGTTGAGAATGCAGTGGTCTCTGGAAGCTCAAGAGTCACATGTGGCAGTGATGGCACATGGGGTTCTCAAAGTCCTGTGTGTCAGTGTAGACTTGGATATGAGGAGAGGCAGACGGAGTGTATTGGTAAGTCACTCTCCCTAGTTTCATGAGGCTTGTTTGAACATAAAGCTTTCACACAGCTTGTGGAGCTGGTCAGTATCGTTCCCGTGAAGACACTACCTGCCAGTCATGTCCTGCCAACTGTGAAACTGATGAGGTGGCTGCCGACGAATGTGAGTGTTTGGTTGACTACGATAGAAACAACGTGAACAGAATGACTGCAACAGGAGCACAGCCCTTCCTCACTCTTCCAGCCACTGAACTTCCAAGTGAAAAATGTACACGTAAGTAAAAACATCCTCACATCATGTTTAAAATTGTTGATATTTTCTCTCTGTACAGAACCTCCCAGTGCTCCACGCAGCCTTTCACTGAGACCCCAACAGAGCAGTATAACTGTTAGATGGTCAGCACCAGCAGACCTTGGTGGGAGGAGAGATCTCTACTATCAGGTGGAAATCAGTGACCCAGACAACCTGGGGTCATACACTGGGACAGTATTCCTCAGTGGAAGTACCACTAGTAGGACAATATCTGGCCTAAGACCACACACTCAGTACTGTGTCAGAGTGACAGCCCACAATGGAGTCAGTGACCAGGACCCTGATGGAGAACACCTCAGGACTGATGACGATTGTAGTAGAACATCAGAAGCTCGTAAGTATACAACATTAAGTGTTGGTCTAGCACACACACCCTCTCTTTCTCCACGTGGCCTCACCGCGCGCAGGCCCAGATTAGATATCTTACATAACCAATACACACACATTCCTCCCATTTTATTTATGACTCTATTCTGGTTTCCTCAAGGTCCAGGAGTGGTGAGTGGAGTTCAGGGGAAGTATCCCTATGTGGTGTGGAACCCACCAGAGGAGCCAAATGGAGTCATCACGGGCTACAGACTGGTGTTCAGTAGGTCAGGGACCTCCACTACGAGGACTGTCACCACCACTAATGATCAGACCTTCTACATCATCCAATCATCTGATGTCCCCTGGACGTCCGGAGAGTTCAGAGTAACAGTAAGTCTTTCCATATTCTAAGATTCATTCAGTACCACACGCTGCTCCTTGCATTGTGCTGCTACATTGGTGCAGCCAACGTACATGGTGCAACTTTGTTGTTGACTGAGACAAAACCATCACGTTGGTACGATAGGTCTATGCAAAATACTTCATGAGACTTTCTGTTGTCTCACACACGCCACATATATATATATATATATTGGCCTTAGAGCCTATAGAACGGTAGCTCGCCTTACTTTATCATCCTTTTTGCCGGTGTCATGCACTTATTGGTACATTTCCAGGTTGCAGCTGGGAACAGTGTCGGTTTCGGAACTCAGTCGTCAACTTTAACTCTGACAATTGGTGATTCTACATGCCGTAAGTAAACAAAACCTTTATGCATTCAAGATATAGTTTTGTTTTTATTCCAGCACCACCTCCGCCACCCAACTGTCCAGGTATGTGCTATATTTTACCAAAACCTAAGAGTTGAAGTTTGCTTTGGTCTGTTTTTACAGCACAAACTGTGGGTCTAGTTCGCTATCCTACTACACAAGCTCCAGCCAGTGGATCAGTGGCTGTCACTACACAGTGTGCTGACAATGCTCACGTCAGAACTGGCTTTAGTCTGAGTGTCAGGTGTAGCTCTAGTGGTAGCTGGACTGGTACAACTCCTCAGTGTGAATGTAATACTGGATATCGTGCAATCACTGTTAGTGGGAGACAGATTTGTCAAAGTAAGTATTTTAGTAGCTACCATCTTTCAAATGATTTACTCTGTTTTCTACAGGTGTTAATACATGCCCAGCTAGAAGTGTTGGTCTAGTTTGGTATCCTACTACACAAGCTCCAGCCAGTGGATCAGTGGCTGTCACTACACAGTGTGCTGACAATGCTCACGTCAGAACTGGCTTTAGTCTGAGTGTCAGGTGTACTTCTGGTGGTAGCTGGACTGGTACAACTCCTCAGTGTGAATGCGACGACGGATATAGTGCAGTCACTGTTAGTGGGAGACAGATTTGTCGAACCGATGGTAAGCATTATAGTGCGTTCGCCACAGCAATAACAAAAACCCCAACGTTTTCTTTTTTTTCCCCTTCAGAAACACCATGTCCCCCAACAACAACAGGTCAGATAAACAATCATGTGCTATATCTAGTGCTATTGTTATTTAAAAAAACATATGTCAGAGTTGAACTTTGCTTTTGTATAGTGTGCCCAGCACAAAGTGTGGGTCTAGTTCGCTATCCTACTACACAAGCTCCAGTCAGTGGATCAGTGGCTGTCACTACACATTGTGCTGACAATGCTCACGTCAGAACTGGCTTTAGTCTGAGTGTCAGGTGTAGCTCTAGTGGTAGCTGGACTGGTACAACTCCTCAGTGTGAATGTGATACTGGATATCGTGCAGTCACTGTTAGTTGGAGGCATTTTGTCAAAGTAAGTCATTATTTAGTGGCTAGCTACCATCTTTCAAATGACTTACTCTGTTTTCCACATGCCCCAACTACTTGCACAGCTAGAATGTTGGTCTAGTTTCGCTATCCTACTCACTACGCTCCAGCCAGTGGATCATTGACTGTCGCTACACAGTGTGCTGACAATGCTCACGTCAAACTGGCTTTTAGTCTGAGTGTCCAGGTGTAGCTCTAGTGGTAGCTGGACTGGTACACACACTCCTCAGTGTGAATGTGATACTGGATATCGTGCAGTCACTGTTAGTAGAGGCAGATTTGGTCAAAGTAAGCATTATTTATGGCTAGCTACCATCTTTTCAAATGACTTCCTCTGTTTTCCACAGGTGCCCCAACTACTTGCACAGCTAGAAATGTTGGTCTAGTTCGCTATCCTGCTACACTAGCTCCAGCCAGTGGATCAGTGACTGTCGCTACACTGTGCTGACAATGCTCACGTCAGAACTGGCTTTAGTCTGATGTCCGGGTGTAGCTCTAGTGTAGCTGGACTGGTGCAACTCCTCAGTGCGAATGTGATACTGGATATCGTGCAGTCACTGTCAGTGGGAGGCTGATTTGTCAAACTCAAAGTAAGGATCTTTGTACTTTCTTTAACTAAAAGTAGCTAACATTATTATTCTCTGTTTCCACAGCTACTCCAACTAATCCAACTACATGCCTTGCTAGAAATGTTGGTCTAGTTCGCTATCCTACTACACTAGCTCCAGCCAGTGGATCAGCGGCTGTCACTACACAGTGCTGACAATGCTCACGTCAGAACTGTGCTTTAGTCTGAGTGTCAGGTGTAGCTCTAGTGGTAGTTGGACTGGTACAACTCCCCGGTGTGAATGTGATACTGGATATCGTGCAGTCACTGTTAGTCGGAGACAGATTTGTCAAACTGAAAGTAAGGATCTTTGTACTTTCTTTAACTAAAAGTAAATTTGTTTTATTCTTACAGGTGTTACTCTCAACTACATGCCCTGCTGGAAACATTGGTCTAGTTCGCTATCCTACTACACTAGCTCCAGCCATTGGATCATTGACTGTCGCTACACAGTGTGCTGACAATGCACACGTCAGAACTGGCTCTAGTCTGAGTGTCAGGTGTAGCTCTAGTGGTAGCTGGACTGGTACAACTCCTCAGTGTGAATGTGATACTGGATATCGTGCAGTCACTGTTAGTGGGAGGCAGATTTGTCAAACCGTTGGTAGGTATTAGTGTGATTTTGCCACACAAATAACAAAAACTCTAGATCTAACGCTTTCTTGTTTTTCCCGTTCAGAAACCACATGTCCCCCAACAACAGGTCAGACAAAGGAATTTCGAAATAATGTTTGAACTCTTGCTGTAATTTTGCAGAGTGCCCATCCATTTGTACAGCCACCAGCGAGACTCCACTGTCTCCTACAGGTAAACACTTAGGTTTTTCTTCACTAGTTTATATAGTTTGATGCATGAGGACTTATCTACTGTGCAAGTAGCTATGAGGAGTCGGATAATACCTAATGCACTATAGCTTATCCCATTCTTAACCTGGGGTCGCTATAGATTGTATCGCATAGCGACCTGGTTAAGAATTGGGATAAGGTATTACTGCATTAATTCCTCATACTTGACCTAGTTGAATCAATTATGAAGAAAAAGTTGATATAATTATTATGCTATTAATATATTTACTTATTCAACTGGTGCCTAGCTACATCAGTTACTGGTCAACTGGTGCCTACCTCAGTCACTGGTCAACTGGTGCCTACCCCAGTTCCTGGCGACAGAGAGAATGATTGTACATGTAGTGAGGAGTCCAGCAGCTCAGCTGTGATTGCTGTTATTATAGACTTACTGGGGATCACCAATTCGTCGGCAGCCACTAATAGCTTATCCCCATTCTTAACCTGGTCGCTATAGAATTGCATTGCATAGCGACCTGGTTAAGAATTTGGATAAGGTATTACTGCATTAGGTATTATCTGATTCCTCATACTTGACCTAGTTGAATCAATTATGAAGAAAAAGTTGATATAAATATTATGCTATATATTTACTTATTCAACTGGTGCCTAGCTACCTCAGTCACTGGTCAACTGGTGCCTACCCCAGTTACTGAAGACAGAGAGAATGGCTGTACATGTAGTGAGGAGTCCAGCAGCTCAGCTGTGATTGCTGTTATTATAGACTTACTGGGGATCACCAATTCGTCGGCAGCCACTAATAGCTTATCCCCATTCTTAACCTGGTCGCTATAGAATTGCATTGCATAGCGACCTGGTTAAGAATTGGGATAAGGTATTACTGCATTAGGTATTATCTGATTCCTCATACTTGACCTAGTTGAATCAATTATGAAGAAAAAGTTGATATAAATATTATGCTATATATTTACTTATTCAACTGGTGCCTAGCTACCTCAGTCACTGGTCAACTGGTGCCTACCCCAGTTACTGAAGACAGAGAGAATGGCTGTACATGTAGTGAGGAGTCCAGCGGCTCAGCTGTGATTGCTGTGTCAGCAGTATCTTTCCTGCTGATCCTCACTCTCACCACAGTCATCCTCACTCAATGTCTACTCATCATCAGAATGAGGAGGTCTAGGAACAAGACTGGACCTATGCAGAGCCACTAACCCTACCACCAGACAACTGATGTTCCTGTCTCTCCTAATGAGGCATATGCTCTGACCAAGATAACCAGCCCAACGGAAGAAGTTACATATGAGGTGGTGCAATGACAGAAGAAAGCAGGAGTAAACATTAAACACAAGCATGAAAAAGTATAGTTGTTACTCAGAGGTTAATTATGTATTTCGGTTAACAGAACATAGCCATACAAACTGCTAGTCAATGCACTTTCACTGGTGTAAACAATCACCCACAAAAGTTTAAACTATTACGCGTTTGCTCTACACATGCACTGACATGCATGTATGAAAATTGTGAGGACACTACTGTAAACCTCGGCGCGCATGCGCAGCGAGGGTTACGGTACTTGGTCGGTGTGTCTGTTTCTGGTGTCCGTTCATGTTTTCTGCCACTAGGCGCAACAAGATCGCCAAACGTCTACGGCAACGGTTTCGGCGCTACATTTGCTTGATTTTAAACTGGCGATTATTCGTAAAAACACTGCGTTCAAAAGTTATGGCCAAGTGAATGAAAAGCACTAACGTGCAAACCATCGGCGAACTGCGCATGTGCGGTACCACTAATTGATGGGCTGGGCTGTTTATGCCTTTACTTGTGGTATCCCGCTAGTAGCTCGCGGAGAGTCTGCCACGGGGTAGCTACAGTAGTAAATAGCATGCGGGAGTCGATACATGCCCTTCGTTGTGACTTGTTGTGCCTTCAAGACACACAGAGCGAACGGAGGTAAGCCTGTGCTAATTTACATATTGGCTTGTTCACTTGGTTTTCACGCCATAACTTTAAAACACACCCAGTGTAGCACTGAACCCGATCATATCGCTATTTACGTGATTTCGTGCGCGCGGTGACAGAAACGTGGTAACAGACAGACGGACAGACGGACAGACAGACACACTACTTACGGGACAACTACCGTAACCCTCGCTGCGCATGCGCGCCGAGGGTTAACAAGCCAATAAGTATGCAAATTAGCACAGTCGACAAGATGTACTTGCTCAGCTCTGCGTACCTTTGAGGCTCAAGAAGTCTCAACCGAGGGCGTGTATTGACTGCCGCATGCTTTCTACTACCGTAGCTAGCCCGTGTCAGACTCTCCGTGAGCTACTAGCGGAAAACTACGAGTAAACGCATACAACGGCCCAGCCCATCAATTAGCGCTATCGCGCTAGCGCAGTTCGCCGACGCGAGGGTCCTGTACAAACTTTTCTTTTTCACTATTTTCTTATGATCATGGTCTTCACAGTTGTATACATCAATCATCACCTAGGACTGTTGTATACATAAGGGGGGAAGCACTCCTAGGGTCTCCTTACCTTTCCTCCTGTACTATGCTTCGTTATGTAAAAGAGCCTATGTCAGCAGATAATCATTTCCAAAGCTATTTTGTGCTTTGCTACCATCACGTCATTGTACAGAAAATCATGCATAACTCCACAAAATGTTTTCACACTGAGAAAGTTTCACAGACGACTCCCAAACCTAAAACCTGCAACCATTATTATCTTCTTCCGAGTTAGTCCGACAAAAAGGCTGACAATATGAGTGGTTTGACGAGTGTAAAGGAGTGGTTCTAAGGATAAAGATATCTTGAGGGAAGTGTAACAGCTGGTTGACAATGTTGAACATTGTGCAGAGGTTAAAGTATTTCCGCCGTGTGGCAAGTGTTGGGAGGTCAGAAATAAAAAGAAGAGACGGATAATCAAGATCCCATTGTTTAAAACAGAGACGTAGAGCAAACTTCTGCACTTTCTCCAGTTTCTCAATATCCTTAGTAAGATAAGGGTTCCACACCTGGCAGGCGTACTCCAAAGATGGCCGAATGAGGGAAACATACAGTTTTAAAAGGGTAGATGGAGATGCGTTGGCATAAAAGGTTCTATACATGAGACCCAGTGTTTTCTTAACTTTTGTACACAGGGCATGAATGTGCTCACCCCAGGTGAGATCAGCTGATATAATGACACCTAGGTAGGTATACTGGTAGACACAAGAAATGGCATGGGAGCCAAGGGTCAGAGTTGGTGGGTTCACTGAGTTCCTCTTCCGTGTTACAACCATGAACTTGCACTTCATTGGATTGAAAGTTAGACAATTGGTAGCAGCCCAGTAAAAGAGGGTATCTAGATCTGACTGCAGTTTTTAAAAATCCTCATTCTTTCTGATTGCTTTATATAATAAGATGTCATCGGCGTAGAGTGTCATGTGTGTCCCAGGCGAGAACGGTAAACTAGTAGCACTGTTTATATAAATGAGGAATAGCAATGGTCCAAGTACAGAACCTTGAGGTACACCAGAGATAGTGTGGATCTCATTTGACTTTTCTCCGTTTACTACAACTCTTTGCACACGATTAGTCAAGTAGTTACAAATCCACTTCAGTAGGATGGGGTGAACTTCCAGCTGCTTCAGAACCAGGAGGAGGTTGCGATGAGGAACTGAGTCAAACGCTTTCCGGAGGTCAAGGAAGACTGAGCAGATCTCAATACCTGATTCTAAATATTTATGCCAACTGTCAGTGATGGAGAGCAAAGCTAAGGTTGTGGATCTGCCAGAGAGAAACCCCCATTGGGAGTCAGAAATGAGAGATTTATCCATAATCAGATCTTTCAATAAATTTGCCACATGTTTCTCCAGAACCTTGCTCAGTATTGGAAGAAGAGAGATTGGTCTGTAATTGCAGGGGTTCATTTTATCGCCTATTTTCGGGATTGGCACAATGTTGGACACTTTCCAAAGCACAGGACACCAGCCGGATTTGATTGATTGATTAACTAGTCTCGTTACTGAAGGAGCGATGCTCTGAGCAACAGATTTAAGCATCTTAGCTGAGATTCCATCTGGACCAGATGATTTGGTGACATCAAGAGACTCTAGAAGGTGTTCTACCTCTTCAACAGTACACAAAAAGTCATCTGGACACTGCTGTGCAGTATTACCAAAAGTGTCAAGATCAGCAAAACCAAGAGGAGAAACTGACGAAGTGAAACACTTCCCAAAAAACTCAGAGAGAACTTCAGCCTTTTCTTTACCAGAAACGGCCTTGCCGGTGTCATGGATGAGGGTAGGAACAGAAGGTGAATTAGACGTTAACAAATGAACCGTTTTCCAGAATAGCTTTTGATCAGATGTGTTCAAAGTTCTGAAGAAGTGCTT